TGACAAGTGATTTCAAGCAGAGAGTTTCATTAGATTTATTGCAATATGAAAAATTAAACTTGCACAAGTTGGGCAACAAGTACAAGATATTCGCACCTCAACCTAACTAGTTACGTTTATGTTTCTTTCCTCAAACAATTTAGGGAGGTTCAATCGGAGGAAATCGTTGAAAAACCAAATGAAAATGTTAAGATCTCAACAAGTCCTTACACTTCAAGAAAATGTTACACACATTTGTGTGGAGGCAAGAGGACAAGATGCACTCATCACAGGAAGCAAATGATCATGCTATCACTACAAATTTATGTCCTTAACAACGCAAATTTGGCTTGATTTTGTGAAATGTCTCAAATATCGATATTATGAAAGATCATATATTTTTTCTAAACTTGATGATGGAACCCATTTTCTTATTACTTTTAAGAGATGAATTGAGAAATAGTAAGTTTTATTCTGCACTTTCCCAGAAATGAGGATGAATTTGACCTTCTAAAGTCATGAACCACACATTATCTTATCTTAATTCTAAGTGGAAAAATTTGTGCTGATGCAATATCTTCTTCTATGCATCTCTTTCATGATTTGTTGTCACGGACCCACAGTCCATTATAGTTACATTTTATTGAAATTGTCTATCTACATTGTCGGGAAAATATGGTGCAAAAATTTATACTCAGACACTAAAATGTGGGGACAATTATTTTGCAAAATGAAATTGGACATAATTTCGATTATTAGAAATGTAGGAAAAATAAGAATTTATAAGAAGATGAAATAAAATGAGGTATCACCACGCTAAATTGGTGTTATCAGAATCAGATGGACGTCAATATCCTAAAATACGTCGTCTTGTAAGACAACACAACATTAATTTCATTCGACGAACTAAAGCTTAATCGCACTCTTCTAAACTGAATGATATCGAATACTAAATTATCAAACATTAAACTTGATAACAATAGAAAATTACTATGACAGAATTTGGAGGGAGAGGAGGACATTAGAATTCAATTATTTTGAAATTAATTTGGATGGAAGAAAATGAAATTAAGATTCATGGATTTTAATATGTCTATTCGGAATGATTGCATCTTTTAGTACAAATTCATTTGAACAATTAGATCACACCATGATGTGATGGCTTAAATTGCATCATACACAAAGGTTCTTGACCTTTCATTATGCACCTCTTGTAATTGAATGGTCACACCAATGAGAAAAATCACGACTCTTCAATATGTAACTATTGTATTTGGAAAACTGCATCAAGTCGTCGCACCGAATATAAACTTATTCCAATTCACACGTATTAAGATCATTAAATCACATCAATTAAACCATTAATTTCAAACATCCTTGTGTCTGCGAAAGAAAATTTTGCACTAGGGAAGACTTGTCTCTTGTTCTCAGTTTTTCTTTGTTTTCTTCTGCATCACATTTCTCGGATGGTTCAGGAAGACTTGCTGTTTCTTTCTTGGTCTTCTTGAGTGGGTTAATTTTATTTTCGAAATCTTAATTGGGGTGCAATCACATCTCACGTAGACATTAAATATTGATGTCGATGAGATGGAGTTTTTCATTTCCAGGAAATACAAAACCTAATCAAGTCATGATGGTTTCGAAATTTGAAAGTATATGTCACTTGAATATAACTTGAAAGACTACGATTTATTTTCAATTTTACAACCACGACTATATTAAGTGACATATTTATCTATTTGTAAGATTTGTAAGACACGTCAAAATTAAAATTCACGCAGGATTGGAATGTAAAGTCTTGAAAGAGGACTAATGGAGTGACTAAAATTTCAAGTAAATTAAGTTCAGTGATCTGATTTAGACAAACTAAAGTTGAGTGGTTTGATTGAGATCTCTATGAAAGCTTAGATACCAATAATGAAATTATAATTTCCTAAGCTGTTAGAAGACTTGGACTGCTCTTTGAGGAATCGACTGTTCAGAGCCTTTTGAGAACCACAATAAACAGATTTAGAACTTCCAGAAAGCTTAAGAAAAACATTTGATCAAAATATTCAAAATTTTTATATTAAAGATTAATTTAAAATTTATGTTACGACAATTAAGAAAGTGGTTACAATTAATGTTAAATATCTTTTTCTAAAATTAAATATTATAATTATTAAAAGTACTCTTTTCTCAAAATGATACATGTTATTTGTAGTGTTGGCTTGATTGTGGATGGTCCCCATGAGTGATGAGGAATGGAAAAATTAGGAGGTGTTCTCTTTGTATTTCAGTTTTGTGTTTTGAGTTTTGAATTCATTTTGAGTTTTATGTTTTGAGTGTTTGTTTTGAAATTGTTGAAAATGCGTTCTTTTTGTTAATTTCTCAAAACAATAAAAAATAAATTTTTTTTTTTGAAATTTTGAGAATCACCACAACACCACCTCAAAACACCATTTAAAAAAATAAATTCATTTTTAATTTTTTTTTTAAATTTTGAGAATCACCACACCACCTCCTCAAAAAAAAAAAATAAATAAAAAATAAAAAAAAATTAAATAAATAAAAAAAGGTGTTTCCCACGTTTTCAATTTTTTCAAGTTTTACACTGAAAATGCCTAAAACGACAAAAACGTCGTTTTGTATTTTCTACACAATTTTTTTTTCGTTTTCGAAAACGGGAAAGAGAACACATTTTCACCGTTTTGAAAAATCGAAAACAGAAAACGATCCTAAAACAGTAAAGAGAACAGGGCCTTAGTTTCTTAAAGACACGGTGGAAAACTAGAGATAGATCAATTTCAAAACTTAAAGATCGTGTACCGAGTCAACTTGTCATAACATTGAAGGGAAAATTGAAGTGAAGGTCTCTAAGTTATTGAATTGGTGGAAACAGATCCCAACTTTTTTTATTTTCAATAAACATTAATACTCAAAATTCAATAAGTAAAAATGAAAGTCGCAAAGAAGAAAAAAACAGACAATCTAAGAAGCTATGTCTAGATTCAAAAGTGACTCAACAAGATTCCTTATGCATCATTAGATGTGATTTTGTTTATTTATTTTTATTTCAAAGAAATAAAATACATGTAGGAAGGATTATTTAGATGTAGATAGATTTTAATGTGTCGTCTATTGGAACCGTTTGTATTTTTGGGTACAAATTCGTTTGGATCGTTAGATGATACCATGATGGTTTAGATCACATCCTACACAAATGTGACTTTTATTATGCACCTCTTGCATTTGAATAGTCGTACACAATTCGAAAAGGATAAAGCCACTTGTAGATCATATTTTGTACATCATCCTTGTTGGTAAGTTTTGATTGATGAACAAATTTATCCTTTTAAATTGTCCAATGATATGTTGCCACGTAACACTTTTTTTTATAAATGATGTACATATAACATGATTTATTCGAAAAAATCACGAGTTTTGGATATGCACTTATTGTATTTGAAAAATCTCATCTAGTCATCTCATTCAATGGAGATTTGATTCAATTCACACACATTAAGATCATTAAATCACATTTATTAAACCATTAAATTCCAACATCCATGGCGTTTGTGAAAGAAAATTTTACATTGTTCTCTCAGTTTTTCTTTGTTTTCATCTTCATCACATTTCTCGGATGGTTAGTTTCTTTCTTTGTTTTCTTCAATATCACATTGTCTGGTCCATCCAACTTGGTGCAATCACGTATCATGTGGACATTAAATATTGATAGCAATTCGAATATACTGCCTAATCAAGTCATGATTGCAAAATTTGGAAGGATGTGGCACTTGAATATAATTTGAAAGAAGATGATTTATTTTCAATTTTGCAACCACAACTATAGATTAAGTGACAATAATTGTAAGACTTGAAAGACACACTAAGTTAATGTTCGCAAAAGATTTAAATTTTAAGTTTAGTAAGAAGACTAATAGAACGACTAAAATTTCAAGTAAATTGAAGTTTGATGATCTCATTGAGATAAATTAAAGTTGAGTGACTTAATTGAGATCTCAATGAAAGTTTAATGACCAACAAAATTGAAATTATTCCTTCCATGAACTGTTTACATGAGATGTACAATTCATTCTCACACCATTTTAAATTTTAATTGAACTTATCACATAGTATCAGCTAGACCAATTTTATAGCACAAATAGTGCTAGATAACATTATTCTTTTGAGAACTATGAGAAATGTTCTTAGATCAAAATTGAAAGGCTTTAAGAAAGCTAAACAAAAACTTTAAAGAAAGTTTGATCAAGATATTCAAGAAAACTAAGAGTAAGAGCTAATAACTGGAGAAGACCTGCTCCGACCTCTGAGTTCCAAACCTGGGGACTCTGAAAGCATTGTAAGGCTAGCAAGGTACTCAGATAGGGAGAGGAAGATGAAGGGGAAGCTTGACATAGCTAAGGTGAATCGGGAAGCTAAGCCTTACACACGGGAGGTGTTTGCGAGTACTCTCTTTTCTTTTAAGATTAAGTCGGGCCCTTGAAAAGGCTTTCCCGAGCGATCTAGTCCAGTATGCCTAGGTGTCAGATAGGAGAAAGTTTAGCTAACGTCCAAGGGGGAGAACTTAGAACTCATTAGCACGAAAAGTCATTAGCTAGATAGGAGATAAATACTTTACGGAGAAAAATTGCTTTAAAGTTTATCTCATGAAAATTAAGAAGTTACAAAATATATCTTTCTAAAATAAATATTAAATTTATAAAAATAAACCATAATTGGCTTCATTGTGGATGGTCCCAATAAGTATGAGGAATGGACAAATTAGTCTCGCAAAGAGCACGGCAAAAACCGTGTTAAGGAATAACAAGTCAACTTTTCTTAACATTAAGTCTCTAACGTATTGAGTTGGTGGAAACAGATTCCACAAATAGAAAGGACAGTGGAAAAAAAAAAAAAAAA